TCATACAAGTGACAAATTTCAACAACAACAATAAGCATTCAACATAGCAAATCAGATCACAAAGCTTCATTTACTTCTTGTTGATCTGAACAAAGAAGAGAAGAGAAGAATCAATTTCTAATTTGGGGTTTCTAGGCTCTTCAAGCTTTGAATCACCCACTCAATAAAGTCTTGATCAACTACAAAGAGGAAGAGAATAAGGGTTTTAGTTTAGAAAAGTAAAGAAGATTCACTTAAGTTCTATAGAACTTCTTACTAGCTTTTCTTTAAATTTTTTTAAAACATGAATTTATGATATTCATGTATTAAGAAAAATCTTATATACCCTTATTTAAGTTGAATCAACTTAACATCGACTCAACTAGTTCGAAGATAACTTATCATAGTCCCTTAACCCTAAAGTTACTAAGCAACAACTAACAACAAATTAGAAATTAATCACATATCACATATAATCAAATTAAATATCTAAAACTCACATGGTTACATCATAAATATTTTTTTATTTTTTAAGAACTTTTTATGATTTTTTAGTTATACCTAGCCATTATGCTTTTTATGTGCCTAAACTTAAATTTTAATGATTTTTGCTTTATCTTCGGTTGTAACTTTCTTATTTCCACTTATACCTTTTATGATGGGTTGATGACTTTTGTCATTTTTGTTAATTTATCGTTTTTCTTATCCTGATAGAGATGAAAGCAGTATCTTATTCAATTTCAAATTCACTCTCTTTGTCAGATACTTCAATATTTTTACTTATTTTAAGCTTTAAGTACTTGGGAAGAAAATTATAAAGAACTACGTTGTTAGCAAATATCATAACTTAATATAATTGAAGCAACATTGTATTTTGTTGTTCTACATATCCTAGTACATTTTTCGTTGTTAATTTATTGGTAAAATGCGATCCTTCATCTACGTGAAGGCCTTGAAATAAGGATAAATATACAATTTGCTATCTCAAAGGATATTTGTCTGACTCTGGTAATGATTGATCATAAAAAATATATTTGTTCAAATGTAATGTTATGATTACTTTCAAGGTGATATTTGTAACTAATTAAAGATTTCATACAATACAAGCCAAAAAGGATTTTGGTTAAGAATGTTCCAAAACATAGGAAACACTCACGATTTATCTTGGAGAAAAATGTTAACAACAATCTTACACGAAAATAATATTGCATGTATTGTCGTAGTAAAAGAAAGGATGCATTAAAGATTTGGATAATTTATACGTCCATAACTTCATACTCCATGAACAGATGAACTTAAAACTTTGAATTGATATTATCAATAAGCATATTCTTTTTCCCTCCTTAACTTTGCTTTTTATATTATTTTTTTATAAAGTTTTTAAACAACTAGTATTTTATAGCGTGTTGAAAAATGATGTATTAATTCCTATGTCCTCGTTAAGCTTTTGTCCCGCAATATTTTTTTTAGTAAAGTTTTCGTGAGATTTTTTAAAGCAATTTTTTTTATGAGAAAAGTGTTATATGGATATCTTTATCGAACAAAACTCTTAGATATGCTTTTATGTACCAGAAAAACTTAGATATGCTTTTTAGATACTTCGAATGTTATTTTTTTTTAATTATAATTATAGTTTCATTGTAGTAATTCACATAATAAAAGTTTAGATTAAAATTAAATATTTAAAATAACTATTTAATTTTTATACATCATAATTTTGTGAAAGTTTACCATTTGTTAGATTTAATCTAATGCAATTAACTTGGTTTGATAAAAATATAAATCTCGAGATGATATGATAAATAATTTTAAATCTTAAGACATATTTACTTCTGTTTCTTATCTCATTCTCTTTACTGTATTTTCTATTTTTATTTGTTTCAAATCTTAATTAAAACAATACTTTAGTTTACGACACTTATTTTCAATAAAAAAAAGGACCCATTTGCTTTAGTTTTTATTTTTCGAAAAGTAATTTTAAGAATGTATAAAAAGTTATTTAAGTTTTACAAAATCTTTGAAAAGTAAAAGTTATATTTTCTCTAGTCTTTTGAACTTAAATATAAGTAAAAATAATTAATTTTATACAAATTAATTAAAAATAATAATTAAATATATTTAATTTCATGATTTCATATAAAATCCATATTATATATTTACTAAAATATCCTTAATCACATCTATTATAAATAGTGTTTCCATTTATTATTTTAAGAGTAATTTTTAATTAAAAACTTTAAATAAAATTGACTTAATTAGTTGAATTTTGCTTATATTTAGTCTAAATTATTTTGGAGATATTGTTATAACCTTTCTTGAGTTTTGTCGATTCTAACCTCCTTTTATTTTATTAGTTAACACTCACCTTCTTTATTTTATAATTGGGCCTTTACATACCACCCATTTTCATAATGATAATTCATTTGAATGTTAAAACTTATTTCTTTTTACTATTTGAACTTTTTCCTCCTGTTGAAAAAGTGCACGGGGCCACTAGTGTTGTATTCTTGCTATTGATTTCATTTTATTGTGTCGTAGTATATAAATATAAAAGAAATATCATTCAAAGGTAGATTGTAGAAAAACACAAATGATTAATTATTTTTATTTAAAAATTTTATCAATGATATTGATCATTCATAATTAAGTTTAAGAAACTTAAATAATTTATCAATTAAAGATGTGATCTCAATAATATGCTCCTCTGTCAAGTATTATAATCACCAAAAGAACAATTATGCAGGATTTTTGAAAATACATTTTTTTATGAGTTAATCAATTATTCATATATTATCAGTGTAAAGTTTTTTACACTGGTAACCAATCATATCTTTTAAATTATTTTATTATTATTTTATTAAATAAGCAACTGACATGACTATTAAAAAATATGATTAGTTGTCAGTGTAAAAAAATTTTATACTGACAGTGTATAATTGATTAACTCTTTTTTTATTGCATAAAGAAGATATCCTTAAGAAGTTGCTTAAATAAAAGTATCTAAAAGGAAAGATAGTAACAAAAAAAAGTCTATTATTGAACAAAAGAGAAAAATCATGCAAATTAAAGATTTATTATTTTTTACTTGGACAATTTTTTAATTCTATTTATAATTTAACTGAAATTAAATAAAATTATCATCAAGGAAGGTCTTTTTTTTTTTTTCATATATAAGAAAACTAGAGGGACGACTTGTTTCATTTAGATAAACTTTATGGGAGATCAATACAATTTTTTTAAAAAATTAAATACTTCTTTGTTTATATATAGATATGTAAGGAGTAATAAATTAGATTTTTTTTTGTTTTAATTATAAGTATAAATCATTAGTTTTTAAAGTTATTTTATATTAAATATCTTTCATACCTTTCATTTACTTTTAACTCTATATCCTAGTATATTTTAAATAAAATTTGAATTTATGATAGAATTAATTAAAAGTTATTGGTACTCCTATTTCTAATTATAAGACCCAATTTAGAATAATTGTTTATTCTTTTATATAAGAGCATCTCCAATGGTGATTCTTATAAGTAACTCATTAATGTTCTTATTTTACTTTAAATGAGATTTGTTATGTCACATCATTCTTAAACAACTTATATTACATTTTTACAAATTTCATTCTAATAGTGAGATCTTATAAGCAACCCAAACTTGTATAAATTTTTTATTTACATTTCAATTTTTGAAAACTTAAAAAATTAATGTAATTATTATAATTAAATATTAAATTAATTAAATATAATAAATAATATGTAACATATAAAAATTAATAATAAACTTTACTTAGTTAATTTAATGCTTATAAAAATATTAAATATTAAAAATAGAGAAATTACATGATCATGAAAAATATATAATAATGGGTGATTAATTTTTAATTCGTGGGTGATGAAGGATTGGTGATGTATGACTATTTTTTATTATTTGTGAAAGTTGTTTATATTCTCTATTGTTCGTTGAAAATATCAAACTTAAAAAATATTTTTTTTATTCATAAGCAGCATTGTTTATTTAGGAGTTGCTATTTATTTTTAAACAATTTACAAGTACTTTCTATCAAAAATGTTCTAAGACCCATTCATATTGTCTCATATATATTAATTATTTTTAGACTAAAATATTTTTAACTAAAATGTATTATATTAATTTAGTAAAATATATTAATTATAAACTCTTTCAAAAGAATGCACTCTAATTAATTAAGAAAAAAATAAATATTAATTAGGAGAGAGAAATGATGTAAAACATGCACTTTAATTATTTGAAAATGTAAATATTAATTAGGAAAAATATGTAATACAAGGGTAATTTAAAAAAAATATTTAAATAGGAAAAATTTATTGTTATTAACTATTTTTTTAAATCCTAGTAAATTAAGTAATTGAATTTTATATATAGGAATCAAGGTAGTATATTAATTACTTTTTATAGTCTTGATGATTAGTCTAATATTACTTAAAATTTAAAATACGTGTTTTAAAAATATTTATAATTTACTCCTCTGAATTCAAAAAAAAATATCTAAATTTAAGAAAATTAATTAAATTTATTTAATTTTATTGATTTGCTTTACTTTCTAAACTATCCTTAATAAAATTTATTGAAAATAATAATCACATTTAATTAAGGATAACTTTTAAAATAATGATATTAAAAAGGTTAGAATTCACTTACATTTAAATAAAAAGAATTTAAATATTTTTTACTCATATATAAATTAGAAGGAGTAGTTTTTTTTTAATTTTATTATATATAAAAAAACCATTCAAACTAATTTCTCAAAATTGGTAAGAATCTTTTCATCTTTTGATTATTTAAATGTTTAAACCGACAATCAAACAACGTTTAAAAATTTGTTCAAAAAAACGCTTAATATATATATATATATATTAAAAAAATAAAAGTAGTTTTTGAAGGAAAAAAAGTAAAAGAAAACCATAAATGAAGTTGCAAAAATGAAGTTACAAAACAAGAGGAACTGGTGACTGGTAAGCACCTAGGTGGGTTCCACTTTTTTGACCCAAACCATAAAGGAAAAAAAAAAAATAACAAAGCAAGGGAAGAAGAAAAGTCTTCCACTCTCTCCAAAAAAGCTTTGCAAGTTTTAAAGAGCAGCCAGAAAACCAGAGCCTGGCTTCCTTGTTTTGTGTGTCTGTGTCTTCCAAGGTATGTTCTTTTTCTTCTTGCTCCCTGTTTCCTCTTCTTCCTGTTAATGGGTCTTCCAGTTATAGTTTAAAAATCATTCCTTTATTACTTCTCGAAACTATCGTTTTTTTTCCTTGGTTGCCAAGAAAAATTCAGATGATGGATTTTGCCCTGATACTGTTGATTGATGAAGAAAAATTGTGTGAACCATGTTAAAAATATGTGTTTTTTTTTTCCTTTTACAAAGAAACGAAGGACAGGTTGTATATGCTATTTTGCTCTGTTTGCAACGATTTCTCGTTTCTTTTGTTACCTGGATTCATGCTAATTTTTGTAGTTGTTGGTGCCTGACTATAATTAACTGAAAGAACGAAAATTTATCAATTTGATGTATGTTTGTTGCAAATAGCTTTCCAATTGGTTTTTTTTTGCTCACAAAATGGGGGAGAATCTGCCCCTTAATTTGCATTTATCTGTTTTATTTTTGTTATCTTAGATTGAGTTTTCTGTGTTTTGGATTTGCAACTTCTTTTCTGGTGCAATAGCGTGATGAACCTGTTATTTGCTGTGTTTTTTCAGATTCTGCTGAGGCCTTAGGGGAATATATTGTGCATCTCTATGTGTGGTGTTTCCAAGGAGAAACTTTCTCAAATTGGTTTGAACATGGAGGATGAGTATGGAAAAGAAGGGATGCATCAAAAAATTTCTCTTTTGCTTGAGTTTTCAGCTGCAGATGATCTAATTGGCTTCAAAGATGCGGTTGAAAAGGAGGGTCATGATGTTGATGGGGTTGGCTTGTGGTATGGAAGGCGTGTTGGCTCAAAGAAATTAGGTTATGAAGAAAGGACACCTCTCATGGTTGCTTCTATGTTTGGAAGCCTTGGTGTATCAGCTTATATTGTTGGAACAGGTCGTGTCGATGTTAACCGGGCTAGTAGGTCAGATGGGGCTACTGCTCTTCATTGTGCTGTTGCTGGGGGTTCTGCTGCTTCAGCTGAGGTTGTCAAGCTTTTGCTTGATGCATCTGCTGATGTTAGTGTTGTTGATGCCAACGGTAACCGGCCCTTTGACTTGATTGTTTCTGTGGTGAATTCAATCTTCAATCCAAGGGCAAGGTTACTACAGGCCCTGCTGGAAGGCACAGATGGTGCTGATCAGGCATGTCTCATGCTTCCGGAAGTGATTGATCAAATTGAGGAACAAAAGCAAGATATGATCACACCTCGTCTTTCAAAGGATTATCCTGTTGATCTGTCCCTTCCAGACATAAAGAATGGGATATATGGTACCGATGAGTTTAGGATGTATTCATTCAAAGTGAAGCCTTGTTCAAGGGCGTATTCTCACGATTGGACCGAGTGCCCCTTTGTTCATCCAGGGGAGAATGCAAGGCGACGTGATCCCAGGAAATATCATTACAGCTGCGTCCCTTGTCCTGAGTTTCGGAAGGGCTCTTGCAGCAAGGGTGATGCCTGTGAGTATGCACATGGTATATTTGAGTGCTGGCTTCACCCTGCACAGTATCGGACTCGGCTTTGCAAGGATGAGAGTGGATGCACAAGGAGAGTTTGCTTCTTTGCTCACAAGCCTGAGGAGCTTCGCCCCTTGTATGCTTCTACCGGTTCTGCTATTCCCTCTCCCAGGTCATCATATTCTGCTAGTGCTTCTGCATTGGAGATGGGTTCGGTTAGCCCAATTGCACTTGGTTCTCCATCTGTCATGATGCCACCAACATCAACACCTCCTTTGACTCCATCTGGAGCATCTTCTCCAGTTACTGGATCCATGTGGTCTCAAGCCAATGTATCTGTTCCTATGCTGCAGCTTCCGAAAAGCAGATTGAAGACTGCATCAACTGCAAGAGATATTGATTCAGATATTGAACTGCTGGGGCTTGAAATTCATCGACGTAGGCAGCAGCTAATGATGGACGAGATATCAAGTCTTTCCTCTCCTTCCAACTGGAAAAATTCCGTGCCTAATAGTCCATCTTTTCCTGTTTCTTTGAATGATCATGCTGGGGAATTAAACAGGCTTTCAGGGGTGAAGCCTGCTAACCTTGATGACATCTTTGGATCACTTGATCCATCAGTTTTGTCAAAATTCCATGGAATGTCACTTGATGTTACAGGATCTCAGTTACAATCTCCAACCGGAATCCAGATGCGTCAGAATGTGAACCAGCAGCTAGGTGGCTATTCTTCCAGCCTTTCCTCTTCAAATATGAGTGGTTCGCGGTCCTTTAGGGTTGATCATCCATCCGGCGAAGCAGCCAAAGCGGCCTTGAATCCAAGAGCTGCTGCCTTTACAAAGCGAAGCCAAAGCTTCATTGAGCGCAGTGTGGTGAACCATCATTCCGAGCTTCCTTCTCCAAAGCCCTCTAACTTGTCTAACTGGGGCTCACCTGATGGAAAACTGGATTGGGCCATAAATGGAGAAGAGCTGAATAAGCTGAGGAAATCTGCTTCCTTTGGATTTCGAAGCAGCAACAGTCCTCTAACCAAAGGGCCAGCAAATGTTGATGATGAGCCAGATGTGTCTTGGGTTAACTCACTTGTGAAGGATGCTCCACAGGAATCCGGTGAATATGGCATTGAAGATCAGCTAACGCAGCTGCCATGCCACAATGGAACAGATGCAATTCCTGCATGGTTGGAGCAATTGTACTTGGAGCACGAAATGGTGGCCTGATTGCAATTTCGTGTCTGGGCGGTGGCTCTTCTTGGTTCTTGCAACTCAAATGTTTATTACTTTATTTATTTTATGATATTTTTTGAATTTTATAGAATTTATTAGTTAGATGACAATTTGCAAAAGGATGGTAATTGGTAAAACAATCTACAAGGCTAGGATATATAGAAGTTGGGCAGGTAAAACAATTTATTATTATGATTATTATGTTATTTGAAATTTGAAAATTTTTTTTTTTGGTGGGTTGGTGGGCTGACGCAAGTTTTCTGCTGCAGTAACTAACTGTTACTGGTTTAATTAATTCCATTTTTTTCCTGATCTTTTATGTTCTATTGAGTTGTAAGGTGTAACTTTCCGTTGACAGAATTACAACGATGTAGTGGTGATATAGTATTCAATATAATGAGACTGGATATGTAATATTTTATTAATGCCAATTCTCAATTTGCATGTCACATATTCATGGCTTATTCATTTTATTCTCATTGCAAGTTTTTGGATGTTTTGCTATGTGCTGTAAGTCATCATTCTTATTAGAGAAAAGTTAGTAATACTCTCTAGCACGCTATTAGTAATTGAAAATTATTACAAATAACAAGATTTTGTATTTCACTTCTTATTTAATAAATTTTGTTTATAATTATATTATTTCCAATAAATTTTAATTAATAACAGAAGAATATGTTAGAGAGTGTTATTGTGACTTTTCTGGCTTACTGTTGCAGCAGAAGAATAAGTCAAACAGCGTGTTTGTTTTGACGTTACCATAAGTTCTAGTGCTTTCAAATGGAGAAGCAATAATGTCTCTCTGGCAGGGTAAACGGATGTTTAAGTCTTTGCAAACGAAAAAATGGAAAAAAAAACACTATTATTAGTCAACTTTGGTGAGTTTGATTTTTCCCATTAGTATACAGGAATGATTAAGTGGGTCCAAACTAGTTCTAGCTTAGGTGAGCTAACATAGGCCTATTAAATGCTTCAATACTATGTGTGACACTTGTGTGCAGGTATAACACTACATTTTAGATTTTTGATTCATACAGCATCTATTTGAAATTTGGTCTAAACTGACTTGCTGATGCAGTTTTCATAGAGTGTAGTAGACAACAAGGATTTTGTTTGCACTTGGTTGTTAACACCTGCTTTTAAGTTACCTTGGTATTAAGAATCACTAGCAACTTATTGTGTGTTTTCTAAGGTCTTTTTCCATATGCTCCACCTACTCCTTTGTGGATTTTGCCTGCTACTTTTTGGCAAACAAAGTTTACATTGATTGGACGTAGTCATGAATGTGGAGGATTGTAAAGCACTAAGAAAAAGCATTCTCAAAAGCTTAATGTATAGGACTTGGCTTTTATCAACTCTTTTTCATCTGGACATCGAACAGTTTCACTAGTTTAGACCTCTAAAAATATTTTGGTCCATAATTGCCAGCTATTATGGACATTGGAATTTGTTAATGACAAAAAAAAAACACTAGGGTGAGGAGTCAAAATGGATTACGCTGCTTATATTTGACTCTAGATTTTATTCAAACTCAACTGAAAGCTTCAATAATAAAAGAACTTGATTTGTTGGATTACAAGCAAAGGTAGCAGGTATTATTACAAGTTCAATTTAAGCTAGATTTTAGTTTGTTTATACTATATCATCAACTCGAGTAAGTTCTTAAAATAGATACCATGTAAAACAATTAGGAATGATTAAAATATTAACCTTTTTCTTTTACCATTTAAGCCAACATAAACACCAATGTTTTAGCTGATTCAATTATCAGACTGGAAACCGAATTGGTAAATATTTAGTGCATGTCTGGATCTCATCCAAAACACACGTAATTGAGGATTTTCGTGTCAAATTTAGAAAAGTTTGGCAAAAGCTAATTATACTAGCTTCAAAGTGACGTGCGTCATTCTTTGTTAAAAGGTAACCAAACACATTGTTACATGCTTATATTTTTTTCTTCATCCATAAAGCTTAGATGGTTAAACTCATTTGGGATGAAAATTGACTGTCATTAGTGTCTTTTCTTTTTCCAAGGTAGCTTTAATTTTTTGGTAGGTACACATCATTTGGCCCTTGTGTAGAAAATTATCTAGAAAGAGTTTTACTATTTTGTGAGAGACGGAATTATACGAATCTATATATATAAAGAAGAAAGAGACGAAAAATCACAAATGAGGTTAAAATACAATTCAACGAGTGACAAATTAGAAAAAGTGAACTCGGTTTTGGTCTTGATTGAGAGATTGATTTTTCATACTGTTCGTATTATTTAAAATCAATTGTTGCTTTAATATTTTAGTGGACACAACATTTGGACTCTTGTGTGGAAAAAAACCATCTGCACTATACTTGTAATTGCCTCATGGAATTGAAGTTGACTTATTTGTGCTGCGTGAAGTGTGCATTGTGAAGACGAACTTTCTTAGTTGCACATCGATGCTTTTTATAATTCTAATCCTCCTTACACTTTTTCTTGTTAGAAATTTAAAGATAGAAAGAAAAAAAAAAGCCTCTAAGATCGCTTTAGCATTGTAGTGGATACATCATTCAGCTTCTTGTCTTGAAAAAAGAAAAAAAAATATTGCACTGTACATGTAGTTGCCTTGTGAAATTGAAATTGAGTTGCTAGCTAGTGCCTTGTGCAGTGTATGTTAATAAATTTTTATTTCCCTTTTAATCATCTTTATAATTATTTATTAGGAAGTTGAAGACACATAAAATTGGTTATAATATATTTCTTTTCTCCTTTGTTTTATGTTCTGACTCTAAGTTTGTTTCAACTTCTAAAAATTATATATGAGATTTTTTAGATATATTAGAATAAATTTTTCAATTGAGATTAAGGGACAATAGTGACATAAACTTGTAAGTTTATTGGTATTGTTAAGGCTATTGTTTAAAATATTGTCTATTTTAACGTTTATTGAATCATATAATTTTATTTTTAAAAAAATATTTTAAGTTAAGAAAAAAAGATATTTATAAATTATCTTTATCTTAATTTTTAAGTAATGTGAGATTTTTAGATATTTATAAATATTTTATTATATAAAAAGATAAAATAATTATGTAAATAAATGATATGTAAATAGAATTACTTTATTTAGATCACGAGTTAATAACAAGTTGTTATCTTACAAGACAAAAGCCAAAGAAGACGCAATCCACAAAGGGGAAGCGCCTTCAGTGGAGAATGTTTATTGGGTTAAGTCATGCCATTTTTAACGTGCCTTGTTTTGGAATTTATTTTTAATATATAAATTCTGAAATGTGAATTTGTAACTTTGTAATATATGTATAGGGTATATGGAAACATGTTTATGACATGCATACATGATTAAAACTCTGCGTCAGATTGAAACAGAAGTGCAAAAGTTATGTGAGTAGTTTCTGTTCGGACACACATGACATGATTATTAAATAAAAAGACAATCTTGAAATTCAGTTTTAACATAAATTAAATACACTGGAACAAATAAATAACATAATATATAATGATAGGGGCCAATCTTATTTTAAAAGTTTATTCTAAAAATATTTACCATAATATTATTTTTATGTTTTGTATAATTAAATCTGCTTATCCTAATCTCATAACAATATATATAATATATTTATTTATCAGTTCATGCTATATTTTTTTATCTAGTTAATTATCTCTGAGTTGTTAGATATTGCTATAAGGCTACGGCTAATCTCATGCCATGCGTCATATACAGATAAAGCACAATCTAAACCCATGGCAGCATTGAAACTATAAAAAAGATGAAGAATCTTCCTTGACGCACCATGTGACAGAGACAGAATTGAAAATTAACTAAGGAGAGGGAGAATCAAAATCTTTTTACACTTCATTAATTTTCTTGTTTTACAAATTTTGTAGTCACAATGCTTTCCCAACAAGTTGATCTATGACCTCATATAACAAATGATCAAAAATTTCAGACTCAAAATCTACACATACACTTTCAAAATTACCTTGTTTCCTCAAACCTTCATCAAACTTATTTGATCCCAATTCATCATCAACTAGCCTACAAATTTCTACCCAAATATCCGCACACTCATGGCTTTGCTTCTCTTTTCTCTTTGACCCTTCATGTTTGTTGTTCTCAATTGTATTAACCTTCATCTCCTCATTCACCATGTTATTATCACAATAAAGCTGCTCATTTTCAAGCTCTGATGACAATTTTCTTCTCCAACTTGTATCTACACCAAAAGAATCCACCTCTACGACCAGTTTATATATATTAAGTTAGCAAATTTAAAACTGAGGATAACAAAAACACTTTTAGTTGACATGATGAATATAAAGCTAAATACACAAATACTATAATTAACCATACAACGAATATTCTTTTATAATTTTTCTTATTATTCTATAAAGAAAGAATTAACTGCTGGACAACCTATTATTGAAAGCAAAAAATTACGTCTATTTAATGAAAAACGTAGAAATTATACTTATACTTATTAATTTATAATTAAAAGTGAAAAAAAATCATAATCTAACAAACAAATCATTATCATTAGATTTTGTTCTTCTTCTTCTTCTTTTTATTTTATTTTTTGGCTTAAATATGTTTTTAGTCCCTCAAATTTAGGATAAATCTATTTTTGGTCCCTCAAATTTAAAATTGTTGTTTTTAGTCCCTATAATTTCAAAAAATCTTATTTTAGTTCTTATATTTAAATTTTGTTAAGATATTTATTAAACATTATTGCATAAAATCTACCTATTGGTATTTCTATTAGTGAAAATATCACATTAAATTTGATTAATATTACATAACTGTCTTAATTAGTCACTTTTAAATATGTTATTGATGACTTAAGGGTCTAAAACAAGATTTTTAAAAATTACAGGAATTAAAAATAGTAATTTTAAATTTGAGAGACCAAAAATAAATTTATCTTAAATTTGAGGGACTACAAATATATTTAAGCCTTATTTTTTTTATAGTAAATCTCTTTTGATGTTAGGATGAAAAATATGTGATCAAAGAAAAATTATTAAAAATAATTAATAACTTATTCGACAAAAATTAATCTTCAATAAAGTTGATAGATATTTTTATTAATAAAATAATATATTTGAAAAAAATTAAATATCCTCTAAATTAATATAAAAAGTAAATATATTTAATCTCTTAAATATATATAAAACATATTGAGTTAGTTGAGAATTTAGATTTATTCAAAATTGAACTCAAGTTAAAGAAACAAACCTGTTCTTGGAGTTTGACGCTCAAAATCAAAGATAGAAACTGGGCTTGAATCTTCTTCAGAATTGCATTCAGTGTCCACCTTCTTTTCTGCATAACATGTTGTTCCCTTCTTTCTCCTTTTCACTTTCGCACCATTGGTAACTTCCTTGCTCTTCATGGAGTGTGAGAATCTCTTAGTTTCTGAATCAACGTTCTCCTTCTCAAACAAGCCCATGAACAGTGGCGAAGTGTTGGCAAATTGAAGTTTATGTTGACAACCATCGTTTCCAACATTGGCAGAAGACATGTCAGACAAGTTCACCTTCTCATCATGCACATTTTCTCTCTTGTTTTTCTTGAACTCACCCCTCTCCTTCAAACCCTTTTCTTTTTTTCTCCCCTTGGACCTGAATTCTACACCATCATCACATCCGCTTTTGAAGCTGAGTACCAAGAAGTTCTCATTTTCATGCAAGTAGAAAGTTGAAACCTCGTGGAATGATGAAGATTTAGCATGCTTGTGAAGGCCCTCCATTCGCTTGCATTCGCCCAAGTGCTCCACAACAGAGTTCATGGATTTGCTACGTGAAAGTGAAGAACTTGGTGTTGCTTCAATGCTGGTTTTTGTTTCTCTCTCTCCCATTGGTTCCAAGCCCATTAACCTTTCTACTATTCCAGGAGTAATAGTAGAGGTGGTGGTAGATTGAGTGCTTTGCTTAGGTTTAAATTCTTGAACTTTGCCACTCATCTTTGACTTTGAATCACGTTCGCTGATTTGGTCTAAGGGGTGTGTTGGAAGGCCACCAGAGCAGAGAATCCTGCGAAAGATTGTTGTGAGATACCCTGCAGTGGCACCTTTGGATGGGTCCAAAGTGAGGGTGGATGAAGATGATGGTGTCAAGAGGTTCATGTTGAAGGATTTAGTAAACAAGCAAAAGAGCTAAAGAGAATAGAGTGATGAAAAGTTCAATGAGATTTTCTTTTTGGATTTGCTGACTCTCCAAAGAGAAAGGCAATAGAATGGAATGAGCAAAGAAAAGTGGGATATTTGAATTTTGCTATATGAGAGAGAAGGGTGGCGGGATTTGCACTTGAATGTGTGTGAGTGAGAAGGAGCAAGTTAGAGTGGGGTTACCTTGCTTTTCGCCATTGACAAGTCACGTAAATTTGTCCTTTTATTTCCTTCCTTGGTGCAAACAGAATCCATCTCTTGGGGCGTGTGAGTTGGCACTTTTACCATCCTCTTTGAAGTTCAAACACTAGAAAAGGAAAATCAATTATGGAAATGATTGGTAGATAACCAGATCTTTTAGAGAAATTTGACCTCTTAGTCATCTATATTTTAATTTATGGAATTTTGGTATCCAAGTATTCAAAATTGTACATTTCTTTCTCTCAACTTTTAAAATTTTACATATTTTACCATTTTGTTAACTAGGCATATAATGCTGATAGTTGACTACTAATCCTAAATCTTAACTAGTCATTTAATGTTGATAATTAACTATTAATATATCAAATTGACGTTTAATGTAATATATTGATTGTTAATATATTATGTTGACGCAAATTATTGATATGTCATATAAATAATGTCATGTCGTGATACATTAAAAATTAATGTGACAAGTTAATAATTAATTAATGTGTCATTTCAATAACTAACTAATAATTTTAAATGATCAATTAATAGAATTAATAGAATAATAAAATGTGTGAAAATTTAAAAGTTGAGTTATAAAATTTATAAAATAGCAATATGATTAACAAAGAGTGTAGTTAAGTCCTTAAAATTTATTAAAAGAAATTAATCCTCTCTAAATGAACCTCTATCTCAAGAAATCGGTTATAAAGTCAAAGTATCTTTAGTTCTTGAACAACAAAACAATTAGGAAAGTAAAGGTATGTTTGAAAACCATTTACATCAATGCATATAAAAATTCACACATTCCAATGCACTAAGGTAAAAAGTAATTTTTTTTGTCTTTTTCTTTCAACGTGGTGTTGTAGATACTCAACTGTAAACCAAACATGCACAAAATGAGCAATGAGCGTGGCCTTTAGATATGGGTTTAGCATATTGATTCTTTGATGAGGGCCAGTGTGTGGTCTAAGCTTGGCAGTGACACTGTATAGCTTGTTGTTTTGTGTGGAGGGTGAGACTTGACAGATTGTGTTTGGTGTTTGAGGTGAGAGTAACTGGTAACAGCAGTGGCCTGACCAAATTCTTTTGGGTTCTGCAGCCGAAGATATTGACTTTTGGTTGTGTTTGTTCCAACATTTGGCCTTTGGGAGAGGGAAACAAGGTTGATAATAATAGTACAATCATATTATGGCTTTGAAACTCTGTTTTCATTAATTTGTTTTATAATAAAAAGGAATGGATTTTGAAAATCTCTTTACGTTTATGTATTTGTTTGTCTCAACAGATAAAGGTTTTTCAACTAAAGTTCGCAAGAGTTCTTCGAGACCGCTCTGAAGGTTTTGATTTGAAACCGCTTTCCCACGTCACAGAAAAGCCAAAAGATAAAAACCATAACTCGAGTTTCTACTTGGTCCAAGTTTTAAAACTTTAGAACCTGAAAAAGGTATAATAAGAATTTGGATTTCAAACATAATCAAAGGAGATAAGCCACTGACTGAAGTAGGTAAGGTTTTAAGTAGACTTTATGAGTTATAAACATCCTTAATGTAACTAATTAAGGTTTCACATTTAATCTTTTCGGTGTTTTTCATTAACAAGTTACTATAAGAGTAAGCAAACTATTATTTATCAAGATTTAATTAGCTTCGGAGCTTATGTCAACGTGGCTATCATTAAATAAATGTAAACCGAAAAATTCAACATGTAAATTAAGGTAAACTTATTTAATGTATAGACTCTACTAAATTCGAATTTCACATTTTCAGTATAACAATTATTATTATTATTATTATTATTATTATTATTATTATTATTTACAACAAATAGTATTTGCTTTGGATTTGGAGGTAGGTTGGGTTTTGGGGGAGAAAAAAACTCATTTAAATGAATTTGTCTTATGGACAAAAAAAGAAAATAATGTCCTAAAATGTACAAGGGTCTAGTGACCATTGATTTGATTGAAAAATTGTCATAATATTAATTCATCAAAACTCAAACTTAACCTTCCAATACTGCCGACACATTTACTATCTAAAGTAGTAAATGATACTATAGTGCAATAAAAGAAAACACTGATTAAGATGAAATTGGGAAGAGACGAGATTATGAGAAAAGCTGCAGCTGAGTGAGCTTCTATAGAACTTGAATCATAATGGGCTTGAGTTAATGAAATGAAAGGGTCAATTGGTTGAGGGAATGTTTAGTCTTATTGGCCATGGGGATGAGGAAATGGACCAATATGTTTCGACACAAAGTTCCAAACGGAGAGAAAACTAAACTAATAGTAGAATAAAAACAATGAGAAAACAAGTGTGTATATGATGAGGGTTATAATAACACCGATGTAACTTTTATCAAGTATTACACTGCTTAATAATTTTATATTAAATATAAATTTTGTAAATTCAATTGTTAGATAGAAAGTTTTTTACTTTTAGATCATTTATACAAAATTTTATATTAATCTAAGATGATTTGATACTTCATTTTTTTACAAACAAAATTGACGTAATATATTCATTTTAAAATATACTAAAATATAAACATTTTGATTACATTCAAATTCTTGTTCAATTTTAACAAAATTTAATATAAACATATAAAGTGATATGAACTTTCAATTTAACAGTTGGATTTACAAAATTTACATTTAATATAAAGTTATTGAACGATACAATACTTAATACAAGTTACACCGGTGTTATTATAACCTTCATCATATATATATATATATATATATATATATATTAGAGAGAGAGAGAGAAATTTGTTTATTTCAGGAGTAAGTTTACTTAAACTTATTTCGTTCAATAACTCATGTTATATATATATATATATATAATATTTAAGAACGTAGAACAAATAAAAGGAGTAAAATAATAAGTCAACTAATTTTTTTAATCATGGTATTGCACTATTAAAAGCAATCACTAATATTTGTTAGAGATTATAATCACACACAAAGTAGATATTTCTCTCCAATATAGTTTATTCTATATTCAAGGACAAGATTTAAACTCTAAATAACTTAGTTAAATACAAAATTCAACAATAAAAAATAAAAAAATATATGTTACATCATAATTAAGAAGAATAAAAATATATTATTTTATTTTATTAAAAAAATAATAAAAAAATATAAAAAATATCATTAAATTGTAAAAATAAAATAGACTTTAATAATATTATTAAAACTGACAATGTCAATAAATAATAAAATATAAGAAAAAAATAAAAATATAAGAAGAAGAGAGTGAAGGCTAGAGGAAGAGGAAGAGGGAGAAGGAGAGGAAGAGGAATAGAGAGTGAGAAATAGAAATAGAATAAGAGATAAAGAAGCAAAAGGAGAAGGAGAGGGAGAGAGGAAAATTGAGGGGAAGTGAGAGTGAGAGAGAGAAAAAGAAGGAGAAAGAAAAAGAAATTTTTTTTTTATTTTAAAAGAATATTGTGATATTTTTATATATATAAATCTTTTTTCTTAATTTAGGAAAGTTAGATTATTATCCCACTATAAGAATATTTTCGTGAGAAATAGGATAAAAATTAAAAATAATTATAAAAAAATATTTTTTTTTAATAATTATTAAACTTAAAAATTTTAAGATTTTCACTTTAAAATTTTTAAAATATAAAAATATTTCACATACTTAACGACACCTAACTATCAAGTGTTAAATATAAAAACACGAGTTAATCACTTATACATTACCAGTGTAAAGTTTTTTTTATACTGTCAATTAATTATATCTCCTAATTGTGTCATATCACTGTAAACACATTTATTTTTAACAGTAACATGACACAATTAAGAGATATAATTAATTGACAGTATAAAAAAAAACTTTACACTAACAATATATAGGTGATTAACTCTAAAAACACAATGCGAAGTGCTTCCTTCAACTAACGGGAAAAAAAATAAAATTTTTCGCGGCTCTGAATGTAGTTTTTATTTTAAGGATACGTCAAACTTAGAGCAAATGTAATATTTTATTGAGTCAATATTATTTTATTTCAAAATAATTTATTTTTACATTTTTCCTTTTCAGTTCCATTGTTTAATACAAAACTGAATGAATTTTTGTTTTCATTAATAAATAAAAATTAAATGTGAGTTAAAGTACGAACGTGTAATCCTATGTTTTAAAACTGTTTAATAAATATAAAATGAACTTAGGGTGTTAACATCGGTACAAAAATAAAATAAAAAAGTTTTTGTTTTGTTTTGAAATATGATTAAAAAAGATATTGGGTTCCTCTCAAATTGCACTCCAAATTACTCTTAAGACTGGTTCGACTGTCATCCTTAAAAAAACACATCAGCAAAAAGTATAATATAAGATAAGAATATAAATATCTTAAAAAAGCATAAACACTAAAAAAATATATCCCTTTATATATTATTATAATTTATAAATTTCAAAATACGAGCATATAAAACAAAATTTAATACTCTACTAAAATATTGAGGTTCATTCAACAATTAAAAAAAATAGAAATAAAAGCTTTATTCATATTTATGAGTTCTTAATTACAATTTTTAACTCTTACTTTAATCTTTCTACATGATTTTAATCTTTTTCCATTTAAATCATTCACAATTTTTTTTAATTGTTACTTAAAACTAAATTATTCAATTCAAATTCTATTTAATAAAGTGAGATGACATTGATTTATATATATTGATAAAAATATTAAATAATTAAATACAAAACAAAAAGTGACTTCTAATGGATGATTTTGAGCATTACTATATTTATTTAATATTATACAATTTGTTTGTTTATTCAATATAAATTAATGTCCTATAAACTACCCAAAAAAAATGCCCTGTTGCATTTTTAATATTTTGATTAAGTATTAGATGAATCTTAGGATGATAAATTAATTTTAATAATTAAAAGTTTATAAAAATAAAATTAAACAAGAAAAGCCAAATTCATTTTATATTGTGCACGATGTATGAAATAGAAATCCTACATCATAAATTTAACTATGTACTATTATTGTATGTTATGTGCTCTGGGTATGATATATAATAATTAGTCATGTTTATAAACCTCTATTATTATTTGTGATTTTAAATCTATATGATTGCTCGTGAGTTCTTAAAGGAATCCAAATGATGAAATGAATTAAACTAATAGAAGTAATAATATGAGTTGGCAAGTTGATAAATTAGAAATGGTTATTTGTATTGTATGTATGATTTTACTGATTGAATTTGCTAAAGTATATGTTGATTGAGATTGTGTGAAATCGCATGTTATGTAAAAATGTTTGTACTAACACAATGTTGGGCGCCATGTGAGGTCGTTGGGCACAAGCATGACAGAGAGTAGGGTTGCTCTCTATGATGTTGATGTCGATAGCGAGAAAGTTCATGTTAGGTGTGGGAGCTATAAGTGGCTCCTTGTTGTAAATTTGCCAAGCATGGGGCATTGTGTCGAGCGTGACCCTTCTTGAGAGTAAAATGTGTTCTTTGTTTGACTATGTCGAGCGCAAGGTGTCATTCCTTGGGTGTCACGATGTTCCTACGTATATTGTAACTATTTTATGAATTATATCATTGAATGAATGTATATTTTCTATAAGAATCTAGTTGTGTGATTACTCTACTAATGTGATAAAACATGTGATGAGTTGTGTGTGGACCATGTGATGGTCATATGAATGGAATAAGTTAAACTTAGTCATGTGAAAGTCTAGGCAAGAATTGCATAGTTGATTGTGTTTAACGCAGTGGTTAGATACAATTGATGAATATGTATACATGAGTATGATTGATGAATTGTATTGACTATGAGATTGCATAAGAGTCTTGTATGACATGAATCATGTGCATCAATTGATTTTTGAATGGGTATGATGCAGAATACGTCATCAGGGAATGTCCCTCTTGTGTAAAAACTTTGGAATATTCATAACCTTAGGGGTAGTCGAATTTGGGAGTCCCAATTTTGCCCATTTGTGTGAATAGAGTGAAACTTCTGCAACATTATTGTCCTAACATGTCCTGATATATCTCCTTCTAGTGTATAGTATTGAGATGGCTTGACCCAACATGTTCTCTTAGACTACTCATTGTATGTCTTGGGACAATGTACAATGATGTGTTTTAATGGCACCACATGTATATGCATATAAAAGTCTGTATCCATTGCATTATATGTGTTAACGTGTAAATGTGTACTACAACTATATTGTGATTCCATGATTGAATATACTATGTTATATCTGAATTATGATATCTTGTTTTGTGTGTTTGACTATTTAGTTATGTCCTATTTTGTAAGTCATAATAAGATGTTTCTTACTCCCTTTTTCTTGGTTGCATTCTTGTGTATGTTATTGTAGGTGAGAATCATTATGAGGATGGCGATGTTGGAGACAAGGTCCAGACTTTGGTAGTTAAGATTTAGGTTTTTTTGTTGTCATTCTTATTTAGGACATGATGTTAGGTTTTGTTTAATGAACACTTCATTGATAGTTATGTTGATATATTGTTCCAATTCTATTTCGTAGGATTATATCTCTTTTTGAGGCAATTTTTTTTGTAATTATCAAATTATATATTTATTAGTATGTGAGGTAGAGAATGTTACACAACTCAGTTGTAGACTCAACACCAATTTTTCTACATAATCCAAAAGTATTAAATACTTATTAATCATTAATTTTAGCATTTACCTTTTGCTTATACTCCTTTATTTTTTTATTCTATTTTAAATATAACTTATAAATTAAAAAGATATAATTAGTATTCTTGTTTATGTTGTGATAATAAACTTTCTATATTGTTAACATATATTTTTTATTATATAGTATAATAGCCATAAATTATTCTATATATTACTTTAAATAATTATAAAATATACATATGTCACTCTAATTGAATTGTGAAAACCAACTTTTACACTATTGTTGTATCCTAATTAAATTCTAGGTAATATTCATATCAATGAATAATTGACTAGAAAATTAAGCAAGTTATAAGCCTCATAATAAGAGAAATATTAACAATATATTTTTTATTATTTGTTGAAGTTATTGAAAATCATGTGATTTTATGAGACTCAAACTCCGGAAGCCGATGTTCACCCAATCTGCTCAAAGTATTTTCAACTCTTTCATGGTATCAGAGCACTAGCTCTTGGGAAACGTTCAGTTGGTTTGTGTGAAGTTGCTGGGGACGAATGGCATCTTTTTTTTTGCCTGCTAGTAGTCATGAGTCACACATGATTTTATATGTTTATGTAATTTTTTTAGTCAAATAGTAGAGAATATTTTAATATAAATATGTTATTACTCCTTAGGACAATAATAATGATATAATGGTATGATGTAGGTAGGGATGACGATAACAAGTTGTAACAGGTATAGTAAAATCATAAAAATAATGTTTTATGAGGATGTGACAATTCTAATAACATAATTAATAATAGTGATTTAAAATTAGAAAAATTTGACACAATAATAATAATGTTGGTATAAAGGGCCAATATGACCATAATACTTGATTGAGACAAGCAAACAATTTTTAACAAATCATGCATGAATATTATTTTAGAAGTTTAAATTGAATCTAATATTTTTAACTTGATTGTCTTTATCATGAGGTTCTCGTTAAGTCAAATAACACATTTTGCCACCTTTACTAATAAAAATAAAAGTGATAATAATAATTGGTTAGTTAAGACATCAATAATAAAATTAGTAACACTAATAACAATACTAGTATGATATGTCTATAGTAGTAATGTCAACAAGTAGTTACACTTAATGTAAAATCATAAGAACAATGTTTAAATCAGTGGCGACATCCGTAACAATAAAACAATAGTAAGAATAAGAAAATTGAGGAACAACAATGATAATCGATTGCAACGATAAATAACAACCATGCAAATAAATATAAAATATATAACATTATCGATGCTTGTTATAAAAATAAAAATACCTATAGATAAAATAAGATAAATTTACTCTTCCATTTCTAATTACTCTCTAAAGATAAATTTTTAACTAACGAACAGAATACATTAAAAAAAAAACTAATGAATAGAATAAGATAAATTTATCCTATTTTATGATTCACTAAACTGGAAGAGATCTCCATAGTTATTTGGTGAAGTGAATAAAATAGCTTATTCATCCTACCAGGCTACCGTGGTTGTTGGCCACTGGTTGAGCTTACTGACAAATGTGTCATTTTGGAACACTTCTTTCTCTCAATGAATTTGGACTGTGTTCATTTTAGTCCTTCAAAAACTTGGTTATTCATTTAGTAAACTTTACCGACCCACGTTAATTTCTTGCCCGAATAGTCAACATGCCCTTAATTTTCTGCAACACTACAACCAACACTCGTACCTTCACCTTAAAGACCATGTCCAACCACCTTATCACTTAACTCATTGTTTAATAATTAGTAAACACATAAAATCACCATACTTTTTTTTTATAACATATTTTAAGTAATTAAGATATTTAATTAAATTGGATATCAGTTACTTCATTACATGCACAATTGCCGTTAAATTCTCGATAAAATAACAGAATTAACCCCATATGTAGTTTTTGTTTGAACTTTGGAAAATGTTCAAAATGTATGTTGCCCATGTGAAAGCTCTGTGCAAGGATTAGAAAACACAACAAGTGAATCTGACAATTCAATATTCATTACCTTACTAATTTCAAATATTATTCCATGGAGGCCCACTATATATTCCTTTCTATGCAACAAATTTGCAAGTTGTTCGGGAAACGTTAAACTCCAAAATGTAACAATTAAAAAGAAAAAGCAATTTGATTAGCTAGTAGCATCACAGTATAGATGACCAAAATTTCCACTCAGTCTCGATGCAAGTGAGGATCAGTCTGATAGAAAACAATGTCACCAATGTCACTTACGAAGTGGTCGTGTCTCATGCTCTGCATTAGATACTTTATTAGATGAAATGGTATTGGCGCAGATCTTTCTGGCTCACGGTAGTACCCTCCAAGAACTTCTTTTGCTGCTTGTGTCTGCAGTTTAAATTAATAAAAATTAAAAATGATGCCCTCTTCAAAAAAAATATATATATATATATTTAAGAGTAGAAAAAGATTAGAATAATTTACTAACTTCCATGACATAAAACATGGAATGTATTAATTAATTATAAATTTTGTTTAGGTACCGCTTCCACGAGGTGATAATGGGGAATTTGAGGGAAGAGATGGTGGATAACATGTGTGCCAATGTCATGGTGGATGTTATTAATCCAACCATAATCACGATCAACGGTTGTAAGGCCTCCTCTTAAATAACTCCATTCCTGTCGAATTCCGTACATCAGAAAAACATGTGTTATTTCTGACCAAAAAAGGCTAACACGTGTGTTCTCACTTACTTTTAGTAATAAATCATATATTAAAATTATAATCATAAAGTTAATCTTAACATTACGTAAATATTATTTATTAGATTAATTACTTTCTTCAATAATATTACAAGTTTGGTGTGATGCTTTTTACGAGAACTAATCTATAATAATTGAAAAGGGAATCATAAAAACATCTTTTTTATTAATGTTAAAAGTATTTTGAAAGAAAATGTAAAATTGAGATAAATATGAAGTTAGTAACTGCTCCTTTCATCCATGCATTACGGAAAAAATAAATATATTATTTTTTAATATAATTTTATTAAGATTAATTTTTTATTTAATCGGTATGATTTTACTTACTTTACTTTTTTTCTTATAGTTTAAAAAATATTTTTTTAAAATTCCTATGTCTATTTAAAAAAAAAATAGTTTTATAATTTAAAATAATTTTTTTAGTTTTTATATTTGTACCTTTCTTTTAATCCATTTAGTCTTTATTTTTCAATTTTTTTATAAAATTGTTTGCGCTTTGTGTTGATGTGGTAGAGGATGTTATTTGTTTTGTGTTGATGTAATAAAAATATTAATTGAATTTTGTGTATTTTATATCAAATATTTTTTTATGATATTATAAAAAAAAATTACAATAAAAACTAAAAAAATTAAAAAAATCGTAAGTATAGAAATTAAAAAGATTCATCATAAGTTATAAAGAATAAAAATATTGAAAAAAATAAATATTAAAATTAAAAATATTTATTTTAAACTATATAAACTAAAAGATAAATTAAGTAAAATTATAGAAATTAAAAAAATACTTTAATATTTTACTAAAATAATTTAGTATCTCAATAAATATGATCATGATGATCGGATAGTTTTGAAGAAAAAATTAAAAATAAATAATATTGTGCTAAAAAAATAAAAACATTACTTATTTTAAAATATTAAGATCGCAAGGAAGCTAATTTTCTTGAAAATTGGATTTTATAAATAGCACCGCATGGAGGATCACACTTTTTTTGAGAGATGGTTAAGAGCTCAAGGCACATTGGAGTCCCTCACCCACAAAAAAGGTAAACAAATGTAAATATACAATGTCTTATAGTGTTGAATCTTTTGATTAAAAAATACTAATAAATAAAGGCTTTTATTATTATTATTATTATTATTGAAAATCGTGTTATCAATATATTGAAGGGAGACAACAGAAACAACTTATTTTGTTACCTTGCCGCGGTACCAAGGTAATTTCTGATGGTGACCATGGTGATGCAAGTATGTGACGAAATCAAGCCACATAACAAATATCTACACATATTCAAACAATTGTATAATTAATAGACATGCATTAACTATTTCACATTTTCAATTGGAAAATTGAAGAAAAAAAAAAAGGAAAAAAGGAAAAAGTAACAGATACGAGTGATTTTAATTTTTACCCAATATGGAATTCCATAGAGCTTGAGCAATAGAAGTGGACTAGTTATGAAGGAGAGATAGATAAGCAGAGAAAACATGATAACCCAACACAGTGTTGAAATTGCTACTCCTGATCTTTCACTGGGTGAGAACAGATTGCTCTTAGGGTTGAAGTGAGACCCTTCCTTCCCAGGGCTTCTTAACCACTGAAATGGAGTTCACGTCAGAAAGAAAAGTCATTATTTTTGAACTATACTATAATAATGTTGTGTTCCAACTTCCAAGTCAAAAAGCACTCACCAAATAATATGGATACACAAACAATGGAAACGGAACAGTGAATCTCACAAGTCTTGTCATGCTGTCTAGATTCTTGTAAATCTTCTCTGTTAACTATGACAATCACACAAAGAAAAGATCCAATCAAGAACAGACTCATAACTATAAAGCCTCCCTTTTTCTTGGGCCTACCATATGTGTCCATAATTAAATCAATAAAAACTTAGAAGCAATTCATCACATACTGGAACCCATGATTCATCCTTCTCAATGTGTCCATGGTTTTGATGGTGTGTTTTGTGGCTAATTCTCCTGCAAAATCCATGAGGATAAAAATCAGTTCTTTTGTCAAAAGTGATTGAAGGTTTGGTAAAAAGAAAAACCTGCAAGGACAAATGAACAAGTTAAAAGTGCCATGAACCAACCATCCATGGTATGGAACAAGAATTGATGAATGCAAGATGTGTCCCACCAGGCTATTCAGCATAGGACTGTTTGAAAAGCTTCCATGGCCACTGTTCAATGCAGAATGTAAATATTTTACTATACAAAACAAGTGAGTTAATTAAAGATTATGTTTGGATGTAGGTTTAAAAGAACTTTTCAGAATTTCTGTATTGAAAATAAAGAGCCGTTTTTAGTAAAAAAAAAACTATAAAAGTACTTCTAATCTATATCCAAACACGGTAAGCCAATTAGGACTTAACACAACACAACAATTTATGAGATTGAGACTAAGATTTAACAAAGTTTACACATTACCAATCATGTCCAAGAACAAATAGAGCCCAGAACATTGTGCCTTGAATAGGCCAATAGAGGAGCCAAAAGAACCAGCTATTGAAATGAATTGCTGTTGCTATCAATGCAGTGATTACTAAGACATCCCTTAGAACATAACTGAGGGATCTCCAAGGGTTCTTGACCCAGCAATGTTTTGGTATGGCAGCTCTTATTTCTGCAATCTTAAATGGTGGAGGAGCACTAGGATCAAAGTCTTTTTGGTGTCCATTAACAGCAGCATAGGGTAAAGGCTTTGTGTCTCTAACCATTGCTGCTATTGGCTTAGCGTTTCTGTTTCAGGAATATGTAGTGTGGTGAGTGGGGTGATGGCTTTATGTTGTGTAAAACCTAAAAACCAAGAAGGAAAAAGAAATGAGACTTTCACTCATGGGGTCATGCATTTATATAACAGTAGGATGTAACAGTAGTAGTAATAATAACATTCTACTTTTACTTGCACTGCTTCTCCCCTATTTACGTGAGTTGTCCAAATATACTGAATTTGAAACCGAAGTTTAATCATATTTTTTTTGGTTTATTAGTTTGAACTACCTTAATCATGGAACAACCTTATTATGGTTTAACTTATTATTATTATTATTATTTTATATTTTATAAGTAAAAATTACAATCACAACATTAAAGTTCTAACCTATAACCTTTAAACATTATCTCAACTCTTATCATACTCTAATGGTTCATCTTATTATGGTTCGAACTTCGAAGCTATTTATTAGCACTTATATTTTTTTCATCAGTCTGAATTATTCTTCCAATACTTTAGGAGACATTGAGGTGTGTCTACAAGCTCTGTTTTTGTGTAAAATAAGGTATATTCCGTTGTTAACAAATTTTCTAATATTCGTATCACGAGAGACTAAACTATATGAGACAAATACATTTTTTTATTCTCTAGGATATCCTGCTAAATACTAATCATTCAAGGTAAAGGATCAATTTAAAGAGCAAACTTGTATCATCGTACACTCTTCCATGTAAATGAATCTAACTACTACACGCTTAAGGAGCACAGTTAGAATATGAGACAAATACAAATGCCGGAACCAAACGTTTAAAGTTGCTACTACTCATAATTAGTTGTTTACTCATCCCTCGTTTAATGCAATTTGTCCATGTTTTTAATATACTAAAGTTTTATAAAGGATTAAAGCAGGGTCTCCCCTGCTTAATTGGAATATGCCAAATTCACAATGCAGGATAGTAAGACACAAAAATGTTAGCAGATATTCCACCACAAATATAAAATCTCTTACCAATATTATTAATAAAGGTATACGATTTTTTTATGTATATATTTTATTAGTTATTTTGTATTTTAATTTTTAAAGCACTATTTTTTTTCTATATTTTTTTTTATTTAATTTTAATTTTAATTTTCTTTTACTTTTTTGTAAAAACAAATTTTAACATCTCATCTTTCCTAAATAATTATTCAAAATAGCTCACACTTTTTATTTGTTAACCACTCAACATATTTAACTTCAGTTAATCTTATTATTTATTTTATTGTTACTTTTAAATAAATAAAGATATGAAGTATTTTTTTTACACTAATAATAATAATAATAATAATAAACATGTAAATAAATATCTTAACCAAGCTAGTTATTTCAACCAAAAGTTGGATTTGACTCAGATGACCGAAAATATTACTTTTTAAGACCTTTTTTTTCACTTTTTTGTTTGTCTTTTTTATAATTTTTTTCTTATAATTATTAGTTATATCAATTATATATTTTCTAAAATATCATTATTTAATTAACAATTCTTTTGGACAAAAGATAATAAATATTAAAAATTAATTAGATAAAAACTCTCTCTCTTATTAGGATTGAAGAAAATAAATAAACATATAAATATCTCTCTTTATAAAAATATTAATTAATTAGGTGAAAAAAGATTAAGTGAAAAGAAAAAATGTTAATTTTTTTAAAAAAATTTAAATTGTTTGATAAATTTAATATTCTTAATTAAATTTTTTAAATGGTATACGCCTGATTACTATGATATTCATAAAATAATAGCCGTATACGCCTGATGAAAAATAAGAAGAAAATGAAAGATGAGAAAAATAATGAAAAGAGATATATATATATATATATATATATATATATATTTAGTTTCTATGTATAAAAATTTTAAACTTAAGTGTATCTTAATTTGTGTGTAAATTGTTAAAAGAGTTGATGTTTTGAAATGAGGTTTATTTGGATAAGTTTTT